AGTTAATGGCCTTTCGGCCATTTCCCTTGGCTGAAGGGGATTATTAAAGAACAGTGTAACTTGATACTTTAATGTTTTCATACTATATTTTAAATCTCATCTGGAAGAGAGCTTCTTCAGGAGGTGTTAATAGTGGATGAAATACTCTAAGAAGACTTGACAAATATGTTTAAAAAAGGCAACATTCCTCTGTCTCATACCAAAATCATCCCTCACCCTATTTTACTAGTAGCTAGTTTGGAAGGAAGGAGCTCTGGTGGCACAGTGCCTAAAGCATTTGACTGCTAACCAGAAGGCTGGCGGTTCAAACTCCCAGCCACTCCTCAGAAGGTAGGTTGGGCAATCTACTTCTGTAGTGATACTGCCTTGGAAACCCAAGGAGAGGTTACTCTGAGTTGGATCTGACTCCACAGCAGTGTGTTTTTTTTTTTTTAGTTACCATAGACAGTGATAGTTCCACAGTGCATATAAGGTGGTAATTCAGTTGAGAGCTGAAACACCATGTAGTTATTATATTAAACAGTCTTAACTGTCCTATGAACAGTATTCACACCTGTCTTTAGTTTCCTTGTTATTTATAACAACAATTTCACTTTTCCACTTTTCCAACCTTTGAACTTTCAGTGTAGAAACTCATTAAGATGCATTAACAAAATCCTATTTTGGATAGGGAGTTTTGGTTGCCAGGTGCACAGGAGGACACCTTGAGTTCTTTGAGTTAAATTGATTTTAATGATTTATTTTTAAATTTTGCTCTGGGTTTCAACCATACTTAGGATACACGTCTGTTTAGCATATTCATACATACTTTTTCTTTTGTTTGTTTATGTCAAACCAGGAGAACAGACTGATAACAATTCTACTTTGTTAGCATTCACAGAAGATTGAAGGGAAATGTCATATTAATTTTCTATGTGGAAGTCAGATTGGTATAAAGCATTATTTTCTTAGTGTCTTAGCTGCATTGATTTTAGTTTTCCTGGAAAAGCTATACAAAGTCTGCTTTAATTTACTTTTTTGCTTTAATCTTATTAGAGATCAGGTTTTATCTACTAAAAAAGTCAAAACACAGTTTTGCTTTTCCTTATCTTTTTAGAATGCCACATGGAGCCATTTTTTTCTAATCTGTCAGCTGCTGTTTAGATTTTTGTGTTTAGAAATTACGTGGCTGCTGTCATTGGCATGACATGGCTCATATGAGCTTGGAAGCATGATTTTCAATTTGAGCTTGGAAAGCTGTTCTGCTAATTTTCTGTCATATTTGCAACCAGGTGTAGAGCACCCACTTCTAAATAGGTCAGACTCATTCTAGCTTTATTCCTGGTTGTGGAATATATCTCTTTAGGAGGCAAAGAAGTGGGAGGATATGCCAAGAAGATAGATGAGTAGAAGGGAAGATTATGGAGTTTTAATATTCTTTTGAGAGAGAATTAATGGTAAGGTCAAGTGTTTATTTTTCCAAGCTCTTTAAACCAAACCAAACTCACTGCCATCGGGTCAATTTTGATTCATAGCGACCCTTTCTTGGGTTTCTGAGGAGGTATCACTACGGAAGTAGATGCCGAATCTTCCTTCCGAGGAGTGGCTGGTAGGTTTGAACCGCCAGCCTTCTGGTTAGCAATCAAGTGCCTTACATGTGCAAATAAAAAAGAGAGGAAAGGAGACAGAGAACAGACAAAGTCATAATTTACTGAAATAATTTTATATACCGTGGAGGGTGATCCAACATGAAGTGAATTAAAAAAAAAAAAAAAAAATCCCAGACTTTCTGCCATTAAATTGATTCTGATTTATAGCAATCCTGTGTGTTACAAAGTAGAACTGCTCCATTGGGTTTTCTTGGCTGTCATCTTTATAGAAGCAGATCTCCAAGCCTTTCTTCCAAGGTGCTACTGGATAGATTTGAACTGCCAATCTTTAGGTTAGTACTTGGGTACAAATTGACCACTCAGGAAGCCTAAAAATGAACTGAATAGGGCTTACAGTTAGTGAAGAACATAATCCAGACTTACTGATGAATATTAAAAAAAGAAACAAAAACAAATATGACTCACCTAATGTATCACAAAGGGAGCTCTGGTGGAATAGTGCCTAAGGCATTTGACTGTTAATCAGAAGGTTGGCGGTTCAAACCCACCAGCCACTCTGTGGAAGGAAGACTGTGCAATCTACTTCCATAAAGATTTGCTGTTGTTGCTGTTGTTATGTACAACCCTACTCATAGCGACCCCTCCTTGGGTTTCCAAGGCCGTATCTCTATGGAAGTAGATAGCCCAACCTTCCTTCCAGGGAGTGGCTGGTGGGTTTGAACCGCCAGCCTTCTGGTTAGCAATCAAGTACCTTAGGCACTATGCTACCAGAACTCCCTTGGAAACCCAAAGGGGATCACTATGAGTTGGAATTGACTCAATGGCAGTGAGTTTGGTTTACTATATCATAAAGCTGAGTTAATAATACAAAATGATCAGAGATTAGTTTTTCTCAATTATTAGAAAGTGAGCATCTGTGTACTTTGAAGAATCTAGTCTCTATGGTCAATTCTTGGCAAGTGTGCTCTGATAGTTAGGAGCAGAGCTCTCCAACAAAGAAGATAACCAATAAATGTATTGGTTACAATTATGGGCAGATAGATGTGGGTGAAGGCCAACCCCTACTTATTAGCTGTTTAGTTGTGATGCTTAATAAACTTTAATTTATTCATCTGGAAATGGAAATACTGATGATACTTATTTCTAAGGATTGTTGGGACGACTAAGAAGGTAATAAATGGAAATTATTTAAGATGTAATCAAACAATAATAAGTAATCAATATCAGCTATCAATGGTATTATTGTCATCAGTATGAATATTTAGCTTTAAATTTTACATCTGAATGAAAATGTGTGCATATTTTATATTTTGGCACATTATTTCAAATGAAAATAACAAAATCGTAACAAGGCATCAGAAGTCAAAGAAGTAGTTATGCACTCAGATAATCTTGGGAAATAAGATCAATGGTAATTAAATCAATGGTTTCTTTACTTCAGGACTTCTCAGAGCTTTTAATACAGTAATGTGCATTGTGAACATCCAAGAGTTTACAGTATTTATTATGATTTTTCTTTTTAAGCTTGGCTCCCCCCACCCCACCCCAGCATCTAAAGGAAGTAAATTTCCACAGAGCACACTTTGGGGAAAGTTAGTTATGTAGTCCACACTTTGGGGAAAGTTAGGACTACATAACTGTTTAGGTCCCTGTCGGGTTTAATAACAGTTACAGAAACAAGCCTAAAGAACAGTTTTCTGACACTTGTCTGAACAATTGTTACTCAAAGTGTAATCTGTGTAACTGCAGCATCAGCAGCACCTGAGAGCTTGTTAAAAACGCAGACTCTCAGGCCCTTAGACCTATTGAAAAAAAACTTGCATATTTAACATGGTCTCCTGATGATTCATAAGCACACTAAAGTTTGGGAAGCGCTGGTCTAAAGAGCTTCACCTTTTTTACTGGATAACTGATAATTTTCTGCTGAGGTCTACAAGATAGTATGTCTTTCCTGAACAAATCTAGAACAAGTGATGCTGACAAAGAGGTGTCTGTCTGGGAAGTTGACCATCTCTTACCTCCACTGAGATTTCCCCAAGTGCAAAGGAAGACAGCTATGGTGCTTAGAATAGGATCCTGTTACAACAGTGCTAAAATGTCTGGGAAGTATTGCTGGGGCATTTTTTCTGTACTTGGGCCGATTTGAAATCTTATTAAGTCAGGAAGTAGTGCCTGGGAAAGAGTTTATCCTGCCTTGGCTATTCATGCTTCTCAATTCATTTTTATTGTGTTAATTAAACCTCAAGTGATATTTCAAGTACAGATTGTTTTTTCCATTATTGAATCTTTGGCCAGCATATTAATGCTGTAGAATTAACGTGAGTCAGATGCTTACTCATTTGTGGAAGACTTTATATTTAAAAGATCTAGACTTGGCCAATTTTACACAGATTCCTTTGGAAACTGCTATGACAGGGTGATAGAATTTCACTGTAAATAAAGGCGACTCACTCTTCCTTCACAGACACATAACTATTTTTTAAATGGACCGATTCCTAGATCATGAGTATGCAATGGTATTTATGGTCTGTGCTTAAAATAAATATGTGTAACCTGGAGAGGTAGTGTAGCACAGTGTGAAGATCCCGAGCTTTTGGTTCAAATCCCAGGTGTATATGTCCTTAGGAATCTTCACAAGATGTGTTTGACTTTTCCCAAACTCAATTCTTCATTAATTAAATGAGAACAAAATACTTAGCTTCAAGATGGTAGTAAGGATTAAATAAAACAATAACTTAAAAGTGCTGGGCAAGAGTATCTGGCTTAGTCAATGTCCAATAAATAGTATTGTTGTTATTTGCTGCCATTGAGTTGATACTGACTTGTGGTATACCTTTTGTACACCGGGGCAAAATGTTTTCTATTCTTGCATCATCCTCGTGATCACTAGCATGTTTGAGTTCTTCATTGTGGCTGTTGTACCAGTCCATCTCAGTGAGGGTCTCCCTTACCCTTGTTGGCCCTCTACTTCACCAGACATGAGTATATGTTCTTGATTATAAAAAAAACGAGTGGAGAGGGACGTGGAAATAAATAAGATGTCAATCCACAGGTACAGTGACTATTTATGTGCCCAAATCTGGATTAGTAACTGTAGAACAGAAAACAAGGTAGAGGACAGAGTTTTTATACGATAGTTTTTTTTTTTTTTTAAATAAAGGTTTATTCTGCAATATTTTCATGAAATGTGTGAATTTGTTTTCAGATCTTATTACTAAACATTTTTTGGTTCACATTAGATCCATAAACCTAATTAACCTGGAGCTTTTGAATTTCAACATAAATCAGCCTCAGAAAGTAAATAATGATTGATTTTAAAGCATGGGATATTGAGTTTTCAATTTATTGCTGTTATTTTGATACTGCATTAACTATTTGCACATGTCTCCATTTACTTTTCTTGATACATAGGCTTGCCATCAGCAAATTTGGCCGCACCTAACCTCACTGTGGAGGAAGGAAAGTCTATCACGTTATCTTGTAGCGTTGCAGGTGATCCGATTCCTAATATATACTGGGATGTCGGTAATCTGGTTTCCAAACATCTGGTAAGGCTTATGTTTTGCTCTGTGTAAATAAAGACACAATAAGAGTGTTATCATAATTTAAGATTGTGCTCATGTAATATTTTTATAAGGCCACCTATAGAAACTTAAGATGAGTTTTTGATTGACATTTACTTTTTATTTATTATAAACAAAGATAGATGCAAGTTTACAGATTAGTACATATACCCCTAGATTGGAGAGTCTCTATATCCCATGATTTCTTTGTGACATCATGAGCCAGGTGAGTGACTCTCTTGGCGTGTTTTCCCTTGGAAGAAAGTGGGTTAGGATTTCAAGGATTAAATCAGCTTCAGGCATTAAGCTTTTAAAACCTAGAGAAGTAGAATAACTTCTGATTTACTCCTTTGCCTGAGCATAATTCAGTTACGAGAAGAAACCCTAAATCTTGTCATTTTGAGATCAATCCTAATAAAGATTATTTTTGTTCATTCATTTGTAGAATGAAACAAGCCACACACAGGGCTCCTTAAGGATAACTAACGTTTCATCTGATGACAGTGGAAAGCAAATCTCTTGTGTGGCAGAAAATATTGTAGGAGAAGATCAAGATTCTGTCAACCTCACTGTGCATTGTACGTAATCAGACTGGGGTGTGTTTTTAATAGCAAATGATTGTGGAGAAACCCCCATTTGTCGTTGGGCATGCTGGGTGCTGCTTACCTTTGCTAAAAAATTATCTGCAACATTTTGTGCACACTTAATTAAGAAATATTTCTCAATCTTTCCCTTGGTCTATCTCTGTTCGACCTCTCTTGTACACATACTGTATTTTTCTTTTAAGTTTCTCTTTCAACCTTAAGCTTGTCCTCTGTCTTCTTCTAATAGAACACATTTTGAACTGGTTATTCTCATTTTATTAATGTTTTAATTTAAAATCTGATCAATTTCTAAAAGTATTTTGCTCTATATAAGCAATATGACACTTTGAAGTTGTGAAACCTAAAGTATTTGTTGGCTGTTCACAAACACCTAATTATACTATTGATGCAGTAAAACCTCACTAGTTTGGTGTCAAGTTTCTGTGGGAAGGTAGGAATTCTACTTCAATTAACAAAAATTATTTTGTATCACCTGCAGAACCTTCTATTATCATTTAAACTTTCTGTATACATTGAAGTGAAGGTATAAAATATGAATGTTTCTTAATTAAGCATATGTGCATTGCTTTTCAGTACTGTCAATGTTGTTGTTGTAATGTGCTGTCAAGTCAGACCCGACTCATAATGACCCCTCCTTGGGTTTCCGAGGCAGTATCACTACGGAAGTAGATTGCCTCATCTCCTTTCCGAGGAGTGGCTGGGGGGTTTGAACCGCCAGTCTTCTGGTTAGCAGTCAAGTGCTTTAGGCACTATGCTACCAGAGCTCCCGTACTGTCAATAATACATCATATATATATAATTCCAGATTGTGGCATTCTTAGGAACTTGTACTCAGTGAAAATCACATATACACTTCACATTATTGCAAATTCTAAGCTGTCATGGCATAAATTAATGAGGTTTTTCTCTGTTCAGATTAGGAGTTGGATGAGAAAAATGTGAATGTGCTTGTGTACAAGTATGTATGTAAATTACACAAGTGTAGACACATGACCATGGCTGGTGTCAAGGCACTGGCTAGGCTAACTCATAGTACACATTCAGTATGTGATTGTTGAAGGGAATGACTGAAATCACCAACTACAATCCTTTGTTGCTGTATGTATATACCATCACTTTGCCCAGTGGATACTAGACTCTTAATTTCTCATCATTTTGACATATCCAGGAGCCTGAAGTCAGTGCTTGCTTTGCCCAAACATATACAACCAGCTTTCAACTCTATGTCTTTAAAGCAGGACCTCACCAAAAACGTGAGGTACCTTTAGCATGGTGGTAGATGCCTTAGTTATCTAGTGCTGCTGTGACAGGGACGCCACAAATGGGTGACTTTAATAAACAGAAATTTATTTTCTCCCATTCAGAGTGTCAGCTCTAGGGGAAGGTTTTCCTTCTTTATCAGCTCTGGAGCAAAGTCCCTGATCTACAGCTTCTGCTTCCTTATTCTTTGTAGATCTCCATGTGTCTTACCATCTATCTTACCCAGTCTCTCTGCTGCCTTGTTTAATTTCTTTTGTATTTCAAAAGAGACTGACTCAAGATACACCCAGCACTAATCCTGCCTCATTAAAATGACAAAGACAACCCATTCCCAAATGGATTCAATTACAGGCATTTACACAGGATTTGCAACACATTTTTTTTGAGGGGTGTCATAATTTAATCCGTAACATTTTACCCTTTGACCTCCAAAAATTCATGTCCTTGCCATATGCAAAACACATCCATCCCATCACATCATCCCAGAAGTCTCAAATCAACTCCAAGTCCAAAATCTCATGTTCTGAATCATCTAAATAGATATGCATGAGATTTTATGCATATTCCATCCTGGCTCAAAATTCCTCTTCATCTGTGAACCTGTGAAATCTGGAATACAAGTTATCTCTTTTCAGAATACAGTAATGGAACAGATACAAGGTAGGTGCTTCCATTACACATGGGAGAAATTGGAGGGAAAGAAGGGATAATGGCCACCAAGCAAGTCCACAGTCCAGTAGAACAAAGCACATTAGTGCTCAAGCCTTGAACATTATCCTCTCTTCTAGAGACCATCTGGGCAATGGCCTACTCTCCAGACTCAGGGGGCTGGCCATTCTCTCTGGGTTCTGGGTAGAGGCCCTGTAGCCCTGGGCTTCAGCTCCACCTTTCAGGATCACTAGGGTGGCAGTTCTGCTCCCTGGTTTTAGGCAGCTGCATTTTCCTAGTCCATCTGAGTGGGGGCCCCACCCCCTGGCCCTTGTAGGCCCCATTCTTCTGCCTTTTGGACATGGTGGCCCTGTCCATTCAGATTTGAGTGGTAGTTCCATCCCTCTAGCACACCTTAACAGAAGCCCCATACTCTGGAACCGAGGTGATGAAGATCTGACTCTTTGAAACCTGGAAGGCTATGTGCCCATCCTTTGAGATCCTAAGATTGTAGCCCCATCCTTTGAAATTGAGATAGCTCTGCTTCCTGTGTTCCTTCCAGCAGATCTGCTGATCTCTGAACTGCTCCAAGGATGGTCCTTTTCTTTTCTTAGAGGACAACAGATATAGCTCCTTTAGCCTGTTTCCTGTCTATAGAATTACAAGAGCATTCTTCCTTTCATTCTCTCTCTCTTCCCTGGAGTCTAAGCTTTCCGTTGTGGTATTAGTTAGATTCATCAGTCTCTCTAACAGGAGGTTGTGCAGTCACATCCTTGGTGAAAATTCTAGGACACTTGTCCTCAGTTTGTACAACAGAATTTTCCAGATCTTTAAGTTCTGTTTTCATTTTGCACAGTTCACTTTTAAGTTCATCTCTTTCTTCTCACATTTTACTATGAGTGGCGAGAAGAAACCATGCAGCCCATTTAAGATCTTGCTTAGCAATCTCATCAGCCAGAAATCTAAGTTCATCATGTACAAGTTCTACCTTCCTCCAAACATTTGAACATAATTCAGACAAGTTCTTTGCCACTATATACAACATCCCCTTTTGTCTATTGTCCAATAACATGTTCATCACAATTTTTTAAAGTCTCACCAGAAACACATTTAATTTCCACATTTCTAGCAACATTCTGTTGTTGGTGCCATGTCTATTCTATAAGACCATAGAGACTTTGTAGCTCTCCTCACTTCCTTCTGAGCCCTCACCAGAATTGCCTTTGACATCCATAATTCTAATAGTGTCTTCAAGGCAATATAGGCTTTTAGTATCAAGCCAAAAAATCCATTGCTGTAGACTTTGTTCTGACTCATAGCAACCCTATAGGACAGAGTAGAACTGCCCTACCGTGTTCCAAGGTTGAATCTTTATGGAAGCAGACTGCCACATCTTTCTCCCACGGAGCATCTGGTGGTTTCAAACAACTGACCTGTTGGTTAGCAGGCAAGCACTTAACCATTGTGCCACTAGGGTTCCTAATTTTACTATTAAAAAAACAAAACAAAACAAAACTCATTACCATCGAGTCAGATCCGACTCATAGCGACCCCTCCTTGGGTTTCTGAGGCGGTATCATTTCGTAAGTAGATTGCCCAACCTTCCTTCTGAGGAGTGGCTGGTGGGTTTGAACCACCAGCCTTCTGGTTAACAGTTAGATGCCTTAGGCACTATTAGGCACTGTGAAATTCTTCCAGCCTTTACACATTACCCAATTCCAAAATCACTTACACATTTTAGTTGCTTCTTGGTACCACATTCTGTCTTAGTTGTCTAAACTGAAACCAAACCCACTGCGGTCGAGTCGGATCTGACTCATAGTGACCAGAAATACTGCAAATGAGTGGCTTAAACAAACAGAAATTTATTTTCTCACATCTTAGGAGGCTAGACGTTCTAATTCAGAGTGCTGGCTCTAGGGGAAGACTTTCTCTCTCTGTTGGCTCTGGAGGAAGTTCCTTGTCTCCTCAGCTTCTTCTTCCTGATCTTTGGAGATATCCATCTGTTTTACCATCTATCTTACCTCATCTCTCCTCTGCTCCTTTGTTTAATCTCTTTTTTGTCTCAAAAGAGATTGACTCAAGATACACCCAACACTAGCCCTGCTTTATTAACATAACAAAGACAACCCATTCCCAAATGGGGTTATAACCACAGGCATGTTGTTGTTGTTGTTGTTGTTATGTGCCGTCGAGTTGGCCAGACTCATAGCGACGCCTCCTTGGGTTTCCGAGGCAGTATCACTACGGAAGTAGGATTGCCCAACCTTCCTTCCGAGGAGTGGCTGGTGGGTTTGAACCGCCAGCCTTCTGGTTAGCAGTCAAGTGACTTAGCCACTATGCTACCAGAGCTCCCCACCACAGGCATAGAGGTTATGATTTACAACAGATATTTTTGGGGAACATAATTCAATCTATACATAACAGTAGGAATAAGTGAGCTCTGGGGACAGAAGTGTAGCTGGCCTGGTGGGAGTAAGGTAAGTGTGGTCCTTATGTGGTCCTTTTTTGTGGCTAGTTTGTAGCCCAGACCTACAAGTGTGTTCATCTAAACATGTATTTTATTTTATGTAATGGGTATAGAGGTCCCCATGATTGTGTTTAAATTTAATTTTTATAGATTGAATTATATATCAAAAGCTATTTCACTTTCCAAAAGCTATTTTAAGGATGGTTGTCACAAACATTTGGTAAAGCAAACAATTAAACTTTGTAAATTTAAATTTTGTCATGTTGCATCTTTTTAAGGCAAGGGACCTGTTACACACACTTGGTGGAGTTCAAAAATTATGAAGGAGTTCAGTGGTTAGTGGAAATCTATCCATAGGTTATGAAAGTGTATTAGGCTATTTCATCTGCTTTGCTCCTTCTTTGGTAGTATTCTGGAAAATTTACCTCAGCAGAAATGAATGATAGTGTCAGATTATCTGCTTTCTAATAAGGATATTCAAACTCAATATTTTTCTCAGTTTATATTAATGTTTATGTGGTTATAGTAGTTTGAAGGATGAATCTTTATTTATCAAGATTTAGGTAAAGAATAGAAGGAATAGGTGTTAAGGAATATTAACAACTGAAATAACCCCCGCAGGGACCACACTCAGAAGTGTGAGTGTGTGTTAGCAGGCTACCACCATGGCTTAAGTATTTCCCTCCTTGTGTGATGAACATATCAGATGAAGAAACTAAAGTCCAATGAGGCAGTGTGTAAGAGGCATTAGGAGACTTGGGTTCTTTATACTGGATCAACTCAGTAACCTTGAACAAGTCACAGAATCTCACTGCACTTTGTTTTCTTCATTTGAAAATTGATGCTATTAGAACTTGAAGGTCTTTTCCAATCTTTGGTTCTATAATTATTCAAGTAAGACCTATCAAGGTGAATAATGATTAGGGCTTTTACAATCTTCACTCAGGGTAAGTACTCTGTTTAAATATGTTGTTTGATAATGTTAATTTTCCCAAACCATAAAGTACTTTATGCTTCAAGTTAAAATAATCCCTAGTTTGTCCAGGTTTAGATAGGAACCCAGACTTAAAGGATCAAAAAAAAAAAAAAAATTGCATCTAGAATACTTGAACAAATGGACCTTATAAGAGTGAAATTTGATGCTTTTAAAGAGCATTTACTATTGACAATTGGTGACAAAATATAAATTTATCTTACTTTATAATCATCAGCATTAGTAGCAACATTTCTTGTATTGATCAATTTCATCTGTTCTAGAGAAGAGAAGGGCTTCAGGCAAGGTTTCCAAAGTCATTTTTGTCATTAGTATTATTTAGGGAAAAGGTACTTTAAAAATAGTGTCCCTCATTGTTTTAGTGATGAGTCCACATAACACCAGGGTGTATATGTCAGAAACCAATGTCAACTTCAATTAAATCCTTCTCATTGTCAGAAATCTCTTGTATCTTTTTGGAGTTGGTTCTCACTTATACTGAATAGATTTGAAAAATGATTTTGACATGTGAGTCTGAAGTTGAGCAAGGAAAGAGTCTCCCCAAAGCTCTCTTTAGGGAGCTGAAACAACCTTGATGATAATACAGAATATTGATGGATTCCAGAGTTGCTGGCCATATGCTTTCTTAAACCAATCAATGGTTGAGTGAAATACCCTATCGATGACACAGAAATCTGGAGACAGGGAGAATTCTGAGCTTTCTGATGCTATTAACTCTCTTTTTTTCAATTTAGTTGCACCAACTATCACATTTCTCGAATCTCCAACCTCAGACCACCACTGGTGCATTCCATTCACTGTGAAAGGCAACCCCAAACCAGCGCTTCAGTGGTTCTATAACGGGGCAATATTGAATGAGTCCAAATACATCTGTACTAAAATACATGTTACCAATCACACGGAGTACCATGGTTGCCTCCAGCTGGATAATCCCACTCACATGAACAATGGGGACTACACTCTGATTGCCAAGAATGACTATGGGAAGGATGAGAGACAGATTTCTGCTCACTTCATGGGCTGGCCTGGAATTGATGATGGTGAGTACTCAATGCTCTTGTATGTGGAGAGACTATAGAGTATATCAGTCAACTGTTGACGAAGAAATGTATAGAAAAAACTACCACCAACCAAACCCAATTACTTAAAACACCATGATTTATTCTTGCTCAGGGGTCTGCAGGTCAGGTGAGGTGGTTTTGTTCTACATGTGTTTATTCTGGGGTACAGGCTGAAGAAACAGCAGCTAGATAGGAGATCTGCTCCTTATGGAGAGAGTAGAGTGCAAGAGTACAAATAGAAACATACAGGCTCTTAGGGTCTAGGTTCAAGACTAACACATTGTTTCTGTTGCCTGTATTTCTTTAGCCAAAGCAAGTCATATGGCCAAAGCCAAGTTCAGGGGGAAGGGGTTTGTACTCCTCCCAAGTAGGTGATGGAGAGTGAATATTTTTGAACAGTAATCTCACCCAGATTATTAGACCCACCAGCCACTCCTCAGAAGGAAGGTTGGGCAATCCTACTTCCATAGTGATACTGCCTCGGAAACCCAAGGAGGGGTTGCTATGAGTCGGGGCCGACTCGACGCCAGACAACAACAACAACAATATTAATATGGTTAGGTAGTTCATGAGAAAAAGGTGATGATGATAATGATGTCTCAAGTGTTTAATTATATTTTATACTTACAAGGGCAAAATTCATGCAAAACCATGATCAGATAAACAGTGTTTGGTTGGCCCATGAAATATTAAGTTTCTAGACCCTTATCCACGTGGAATACAGAATCCTGCTTTCTCATTCCCGGATGGGAAGTCAATATCCTGAATGAAATGTTTTGCTTACCTGGACTGACTGAGTTAAGATATCCTTTTATCAGATCCTTAACTGTTTTTCTGGGAGTGGTAATAGTTCCCAAGTGACCAGTGATTTGGGTGAGGAGGAGGATGGCTAGCTTCAGGGGTCCACTCTGTGGGCAACAAGAGAATTTGAGCATGACCCTCAGTAACAGCAGGAACAACTGTGATATCTTTAACTGCTTGACACACTGCTGTGCAGTGGTGCATTCTTACGTGCTTGTTCATGTTGCCATGATACTTGCTACCGTTGTGGAGACTGAAGCTTGTGTTTGGTTATTGGGACCTGCACATGAATAGAATTTCTCACCATAATAGCTTTGCATTAGTCAAAGTCACACAAGGATTGCTTGGCAGAGGGAAGGGAAAATAGAAATGTGGATATTAATGAGCACAGGCCCCTGGGTGGTTTATATCTTGGGCAGTCCACATATCTATGGACAACTGTGATACTTGAAAAACCACCTTCACCAAACAGGTAATTATTATGTAATGAGCAGTAGTACTCATTACATAATAATTCTTCCTATTATCCTGGTATTTACTAAACCACTTTTTAAATGCACAAGCCCTCTTAGTGTGTTCAAAATGTGATTTGAATTATGTAAGTTGATTTACAAACTGCCCTTCAGAAGCACATAAAACAAGCTATGTTTGGGTGCGTTACCCAGACACCCCTGGCAGTTGTTGTCTTTCCTATTAAATCTTCTTCCTCATTGAGAGTTTAGGTGCATGGCTGTATTTGCTGTATTAAATCTCTAGATTACTGTGTTTCTCCTTGTGTGTTTGAGTGAATAACAGCTGCATATTTAAATCCAGAGGACTCACATTTGAGAAGACTGCTTTTTGTTTTTAAATAGACTATTTTGTGATGAATTTTTGTTGTTGTTGTTACTAGTTGACATAAGGTCTTAAGGATGCATAAGAGTGCGTACGTTTATGCCATAAGGTCATGGTAACCTTCTGTATAACAAAGGCAGTCTTGCCTAGTCCTGCACCATCCTCATGACCATTGGCATGTTTGAATCTATTGTTGTGGCTATTGTATGGTGCTTTCCAGCCTACATTGCTTATCTTCCCATCTTTCTGTGCTGTATGGAGCAGCATTCTGTTGTGATCCATGAGGTTTCCATTGGCTGATTTCTGGAAGTAGATCACCAGGCCTTTCATCTTAATCTCAAAATGCCAGCTTCCAGCATCATAGCAATACATAAACTGGCATGACAAATTGACAGATGAGTAGCAGGAGTAATTTTAGACTTACTGAAAATTTTTACAGATAGGGCAGAGATTTCTCAGATACATTTCACCCAGTTTTCCCCATTGTTAACATCTTAAATGACCTTGGTACATTTGTCAAAACTGGGAAACTTACATTGCTGCATTACTATTATCTAAACTCCAGACTTTATTTGAATTTCACCAACAACTGCCTTTGAAACTGTTGGGAGTGAAACTTGATTCAGGGCAAAGGTCTGGCAAGTAAAAGCCATCAGAAGCAGTCTGTGTTCTTTGATATATGTACAGTACTGTCGGCATAAAGCCAGTAGCTTCTATTTTAGTTTAAGATTTTGATGTAGTTTTCTTTCGAACATTTCTATGTGGTGCCAGTATTTGGTAGACCTGAACTTCTCTTACCCATGTGACCTCATTTGTATTGATCATTTCTGTTAGCTTTAATTTACCTACCAATGGGAAAGAATGGTTTTCTGACATAAAATAGAACTTAGAGTGTCTCAAATACTCCCATTAAAATAAATAATGAGTTATTTATATATAAAAAAATTAAGTTAATTTTATAATGATATTTTCTTCTCTCTTCTTCTTGTTCAATTAGTCTTTTGTTTTTATAAGGTTCTTTATTAGGTCTTCAATACAAACTATTTGCTTTTAGAAAAGAACAAGTTTTTTTCTCTTTAAGTATTTACGCAAGAAACAGTTATGAAGGAGTGGGAGATGAAAGTGGAAATGAAAGAGACTTGGCTGAGGGTGATAGTGGTTATAAATGGCCCTAGTGGGCCATAAACTAGTGTGGCCAATTAGAGATTGACCTCACTTGGCATCTCTGGATAGAATTTTTGTGAGTATTTATGAGATTTGTAGTCATAGAATGTGGATAATGACCTTTCTTAGAATTGCTTTCTTTTCCTCTTAAAGAATAAAAGCAAACCGTTTGCCATTGAGTCAATTCCAACTCATGGCGACCGCATGTGTGTCAGGGTAGAACTGTGCTCTGTAAGGTTTTCAATGGCAGATTTTTCAGAAGTAAATCAACAGGCCTTTCTTCCAAGGTGCCTTTGGGTGAACACTTGAGCTTTTTGGCTACTAGATGAGAATGTTATTAACATTTGTACTACTCAGGGACTCCTTCTTATTCTACTTTAAAACTTGAAGAAAAAAAAATCATTCCCCTGTTGGTTTACAGGTACGTTCTGAGTTAAGGACAACAGGTCAAGTTTGGCTTCATATTCCTTTCAAAATTTTTGTTGTCATCCCATAGTCATTGATGAAGAGGCTCAGCTTTGACAAATCTTTTAATGCTGCCAAGTTTTGACTTCTATTTTTCCTTGTTTTGATGAGATTCTTTCTTTCTTTTCTTTTCTTCTTCTTTTTTTTAATGCTGTGAGTTTCTGGGCTATATAATGGCTGGCTGGCAGCTTGGGTTCACCCTGAGGCCACAAGCAGTTCTGCATACAGCCAGAGGGATGAAAATGGTGGCCGTTGTCTCTGAAAGTGTGAGCTCCATGTCCACCTTGGAATGGAGATTTTCATGGGATGCCCATTTTGCTGAGGAACTCATGCTTGGAGACAGAGAAAGAAGAGTTCTGACAGAAATGAAAACAAACAGAAAGAAAGATAAAGCCTCTAACACAAGAAAATGGTAAACATGGAGAGGATAGACTGATTGAATATAATTATTATTCTGGTTGGCTTTAATAGAGTATGATATGTGATCACAGGACTTAGGGAAAGACACCACTCTATCTTCTACTCTGAGGAAGGATGGGGCAGATAAACCTCAAGCCCAGGCCAAGAAGGTACCATTCACAAGGTGTGTGTATGTCTAGAGGTGGGGCCACTAATGAGAGAGACCTGACAAACCATCACGCCCCTTTAATGCTTTCTGAGAGTGCTGTGACTGTGCAAGGACTCGCCAAGGAGATGCAGTGGTTAAGCGCTTGGCTGCTAACAAAAGGTTGGCAGCTTGAACCCATCAACCATGGGAAAAAGATGTGGTAGCCTGCTTCTATAAAGATTTAGACTTGAAAACCCTATGGGGGAAGTTCTAGTCTGTCCTGTATGGTTGGAATTGACTCAGCAGTAAACAGGATGGCTGTTCAGACAGACCCAGTAAGTGTACTGATGTGGACGGACAGAAATGGTATGACAGTTAGATGTCAGCAGTTCCCCTGAGTTAACATGAAAGGTGGGACCACCCCGTAGAACCTCAGAAGAAAGACCTGGTGATCTACTTCTAAAAAATGAGCCACTCAAGATGCTTTGGAGCATAGTTCTTTTCTGACACACATGAGGTTGCTATGAGTCAGAATTGACTTCATGGCATCTGGTTTGATCTTTTAGTTTTGGCAGATGTGAGACCAAGTAGGGCCCCAGATATTAAGCCTATGCCATCCCCATCTGTTAATCAATGGGAACCTAGCTAGTTTCTGAGAATGGGAGAAAATCCTCTCCTAGACTCCAAACACCAGGTTGATCATTTTGGATCCTGTGATTAGAACTGAACTCAGCTCTGGTTAGTTTTGGGTTATGTTGAAAGTACAAGATAAAACTTTCAGGTTCAAATTGAAATCTAGAGAACTGAAGAACACAACTTGTGACAAACTATAATTTTCTTTATGTTTTGTTTTCTATTGTCTTTTAAAAATGCATTCACAAGGGGTAATCTTCCTAGATTCCTAGCACAGCAGCTTCCTGGCCTTTGTTGCATATTATAATTAACTAGGGAGTTATTCCACTGCTTATCTTACAGTTGACATGTTGTGGTGTCTTGTGTGTTACTGTGATGCTGGAGCTATGCCACCAGTATATCACATGCCAGCAGAGTCACCTATGGTGGACAAGTTTCACAGGAGCTTCCAGACTAAGACAGACTAGGAGGAAGGACCTGGCAATCTACTTATGAAAAAATTGGCAGTTGGAATCTTATGAATAGCAGCAGAACA